TAATTCCTCCTTTAGCTCTGAGAAGTTTGATGGACTGAAGCCTTCTTCTCTCATCTGGTCAAAGTCATTCTCCGTCCAGCTTTGATCCGTTGCTGGCGATGAGCTGTGTTCCTTTGCAGGGAGAGATGCGCTCTTATTTTTTGAATTTCCAGCTTTTCTGCCCTGCTTTTTCCCCATCTTTGTGGTTTTATCTGCCTCTGGTCTTTGACTATGGTGACGTACTGATGGGGTTTTGGTGTGGGTGTCCTTCCTGTTTGTTAGTTTACCTTCTAACAGTCAGGACCCTCAGCTGTAGGTCTGTTGGAGATTGCTTGAGGTGCACTCCAGACCCTGTTTGCCTGGGTGTCAGCAGCAGAGGCTGCAGAAGATAGAATATTGCTGAACAGTGAGTGTACCTGCCTGATTCTTGCTTTGGAAGCTTCCTCTCAGGGGTGTACTCCACCCTGTGAGGTGTGAGGTGTCAGTCTGCCCCTAGTGGGGGATGTCTCCCAGTTAGGCTACTCAGGGGTCAGGGACCCACTTGAGCAGGCAGTCTGTCCGTTGTCAGATCTCAACCTCTGTGTTGGGAGATCCACTGGCCTTTCTTATCTAATTTTTTCAGCCATAAAATGGCATGTAACATCTCTCTTGCATGGTTTTAAGACTTTTATTTAGATAACTTATGGGCAGTGATCAACACAATTAGCCAATTGGTTATGATTAGACTTTGATGTTACCCATTGCCTTAATTTTAATATTTTAATGTTCCCAAGCAAAAGAAGAGTCAATCCTGAGAGCAGATCAGAATATATTAGTGAATAGAGAAATAAAAACAAGATCAAGGAGGGATAGATGATGGGGGGTGGGAGAGAATGACCCTACTATGAGAGCAGAGCTCCAGGAATGCTCAATGACAAAGAAAGTACACAGCAAGGGAGACATGGAGGAGAGGAAGGGATGAAAAGAACTGATGAGTGCCTGAGGAGCTGGCCAGAGACATCAAGGTCGACCTAACTCTTGTTATCCCCAATGGAGAGAGCCTCAAGGTACTCTGACCCATTAACAAATGCCCCAATAAACCTTCACACAGGAGGAAAAGAACAACAACTACCTTTCTCTAGGAACAGACTTCTTTTGTCAATTTAGGTGTCAGTATTAGAAAAAAGAAATACATTAAAAAGACGGTTGGTGTCGGTTCGGCTGCTGGGGTCAGATTCCGCGGTCCCAGCCCCTCCCCATGGCAGACGCTGAGGAGTTGCAGGTTTCTTTGCCGCCCCCGCCGCCTCTCTTTTCTCCCTCCTCTTCAGACGCCTCTGCAGCATCTTCCCCGGGCGGCCCAGTGAGTTTGGGCTGGCCAGTTCCGAGCAGGAGCAGCGGCCGAACGGTGGACCCGCTGGAGGAAGTGGAGCTGCAGATGGGAGATGCAGCCTTTTCATTAACCAAACTTCTTGAAGCCACATCTGCAGTATCAGCTCAAGTGGAAGAGCTTGCCTTCAAATGTACAGAAAATGCACGTTTCCTTAAAACGTGGCGAGACCTCTTGAAAGAAGTCTATGATTCTTTGAAACCTGATGACTAATTTGGCATACTTCGTTATTTAACAACGACTGCAATCATTCATACGTCTTATGTCATATTTGTACATGTACCACACGTATAGAATGACCTCTGTCAAGCAGTTCTGTATATACTCAGAATGAAATTTTTCTTGGTTTTCTTGGCTTCTGTGAAAGCAGCATACCGATGCTGTTTTTGTTGCGGACTAGTACTAGTTTGTCCTTAAATACTTTATGCCTCTGAACTTTCACAGAATCCTTTATGAAAGTCAACTTCATCAATACATGGTTAATATTAATAGAGCCACAGTGCTACCATTAGCAAACTAGGTAGACCATTATTTGTTTTGCAACAAGACGCTAAGCATGGCAGAGTTTGAAGTTGCGTTTCATCTTAAGTACCATGGGAGGTAACTTTAAGGTTTCCAGTGGTGGATCCAGCTCCATTTGGCTAAGTTGTCTGCAGCTAATGATTGTGTCTTTATTCTATATCCCCAGCACCTAAAACAGGTTCACACAACACTCACTAAATGTTTGTTGAATAAACGAGTTAACAAACAAAATTAAAAGCTTTTTCTCTTCCTATATTTAGCATGAAGACTGTCATTGTTTCTTTAGAAAATGTATGAATCTGAACTTTATTGACTTGAAGAAAAACATTCTTTTTTTAACAGAGATTTGGACTTTGATGATAGGTTTTAAAATATATGATAAATATCTTTTGTACTTTTTTTTAAGACTTTACTTCAGAAAAGGAGACTGTCTAGAAAGAATGCATATTTTTTCCTTATTTATTTCTGTGGTTACTGCTTCTGGAGTTTAACCGTGTTTGTATCTGATATTTGTGTATGTTTGATGGCTATTTTTAAGGTGCCTTGTCAGATTTATGGCTCTGTGCTATTACTTTTTGAGCTTTGCAAGTTGCGTACATAATAATTCTAAAGAAGTTATTTTGTTTGCAATGCATCAAATTTAAATGATGTGATTTTTTTTGTATTATTTGACCTTAGTGACAGTGTTCTATTTTGCATCCTGTATATTATGTTGCTTTTGGTATTTTGTGCTGTGTGTCAACGATTAAGCCAGCTAATTCTCCACCATATGTAACTTCTGGACATCTTTGATACGACGTCTTAATTCTTTGTAGATATGAAGATATGTACAGAACTATATTCTAACACCCAGCAATGGGACTATGAGAGGGGACAGATGGATGGGCAAAGAATAGTTTTGTTTAACATATTAGTCATAGTTCTTGATTAGATTTTTTAGTTAAAGATCACACATAGGGTGTGATTTCTATACCAAAGATATGCTTATTTCAGTATTAGAAAAATATTCTTACATGTCCTGAAAATTGCAATTTTTTAAATGTGTAAAACTAAATTCTTATTAAAAGCACATTTTATTTCCATTTCTTTGGATTCATTACCTTAAAACTTTTTACTGACATATTTCAAAGATACAGGAGAGGTAAATGAGTTCAAGAAAATTCATGTATTTCTACCATGCAGATGTAATAAATGTTAGGATTTGGCTATATTTTCTTCAGACACACATATATATGTAATTGCAAATATTAGATACATTTGAAGTTCGTTTTGTTACCTCTTTGTTCCTGTCCCTTTCCTCCCTCCCCAGAGTCCCCAGAGGTAACCACTAGAGGTGGCATATATTCTAGCGTGTGTTTTTATATTTTAATATAAATACATTTTTTAAAACGCTATAAAATATTGTTTTATGTATGTGGTAGCCAGCCTCCAGATGGTCACCAGTGATCCCTGGCCTCCTGGTGTTCATTCCCCCCGTAGAGCCTTCTCCTGCATTTTACAGTGCTGACTTTTGTAACTACCAGGATATTGAGCAAGTGCAGTGTGTGATTTCTGAGGCCATATTTTTTACTCCTTTTTTTTTTTTTTTAAGAGACAAGATCTCACTCTATTGCTCAGGCTGAAGTGTGGTGGCAGGATCACACCTCATTGTAACCTTAAACCTGGACTCAAACGATCCTCCCATCTCGCCTCCTAAAGCACTGGGATTACAGGCATTTTTGCTCATTTTTCCATTTTGTTTTTTTACTTGTCAGTTGTTAGATATCACATATTTTGAATACTAATAATCTGTTATGTATGTTTCAGTTATCTTGTTTAGTCTGGTTTGTCTTCATATTTTGGTTATGAAATCTTGAATTTTTAAATTTTAATGTAATCTTACCAATCTTTCATAATGATTTGCTTTTTCTGGTTTTTGTATAGGAAATGTCATAAAAATAGTCTTGTTCAGCCTTCCAAAAGTTACGAAATTTTTGTTTTTAACATTTAGATGCTTAGTCCAACTGAAATTTGTTTTCGTTTATGGCATGATTTTGGAATCTTGTTTTAATTATTTTTGCACATTTATAGCTCTTCCTCCTAGTATCAATGTTTCAAGTGCAACATCTGTCATGCAGTTACTATATAAGGGCCAGATTCTGACCTTTCTGTTCTTTTGATCTGAAGGAAATTTGAACATGCCACCCCCAAATACACCAATTTGGCATACTGATTATTTCAAGCTAAAGGTACTTGAGAAACAGTAGTTGCAGAAATGGCTATCTTAACTGTCCTTTCCTACCTGTAGCAAGCCATACAGACTTCTTTGAGAAAGATGCTTTCCTGATACCAAGATGAGAAGAGACTCTAATCAACTGAGACAGTATCAGAGAAATCTACAAACAAAGCTTACTGTTAGTTTCTTGCCATATGTTTACCTTCCCACAGTTTCTGCCTCTGGAAGCCTAAAACTGCTTTCCTTTGTCTTGTCACACTTCTCTGAAATGTATTCTTTGTGGAAGATGCTATATAATATAATCCAGAGTTGTAAGCCACTACTTGTGTTTACCTTTTCATTGAGTTTTCTCCTGTGTGATGTACACTGCATATATTAATGAAATTACTTGTTTTTTTCTTGTTAAAAAAAAAAAGAAAGAAAGAAAAAAGAAATATATTAGTTCATGTGCCAGGAGCCTCCAGGTAAAAAGCTCAAAACCCTTTTCTAGCTTGTTCTAATCTTGTGCTGAATCCAAAAACAAGAGAAATATAATTTTGAGAAGTTCTGATTCTTGACAACATATTTGAGCACTTAGACTATTTCAAATATGATTCCACTGTTGGTCTTTTTTTTTTTTCCCACTACTTTCTCTTATCATTCTAAATATTACCCCAAGAATGTCATGCAAATAAAGACTTCTAAAATCCAGCCATTCAGAAAAGCAGCTAGATGGTAATACCCAGTGGGTGGGCAACTGAGCCTGCAAGCCCAGGAGGCAGCTGAGTTGATGTCTTGCATTCCTTGGCGTTCAGCCAGAAGCAAATTTTTGACCTCATTATCTTAGAAATTTCCTTATATGTGTGGATGTAGTGACCAAGACAGCCTCAACATTCACCTCAGTTTGACTAAACTTTAGACAAGTTTCTTCCTGAATATAAGCCTTAGCCACCCTTTTCTTAGAGCATTTACTTTAGAAAACTTGAAATTGCAAATTCTTTCTCTGCCTCTTTGAACTGTATGTAAATATTCTCCAATCCTCTTGCCAGTTTTACAACCCAGGGAATAATCTTTCTTAAGGACCTGGGAACCATCTCTTTGAAATGCAAACACTGAAGGAGAAAGCATCTCTATCTCCCAGTCTCTGTGGGAGGATAGGAGCCTAACTTAGATGCCAATTCGTAAACACAGATGTCCTAATCACAGAGAAAAATGTAGCAAACACAGGAATAACTTAATGTGGTGGACACATTCCAATGACCAGCTCTCTGCTAATGTCATCCAGTACTTTTCTAAATGATTACCCCAGTGTTGAAAAACTCTCCTGCCTTTGGTTTCAGAGGAGTTGAGTTTAATCTCTCTCTGCTATTGCGATAGTCTTGAATAAAGTCTTCCTTGCCTGTTTAATATGTCTGGTGCCACATTTGCTTGTATGGTACGTATTGATGGATGGATTTAATTTTAACTCTTGTACAGAAGGTCGAGTTAAAATACCTTAGTTCATAGCACCTCATTATCATTGTTCATTTAAAAGCTTTATTCTTCATTGGTTTCCTTTTATCCTCATATTCTACTCCTATTCCTCTCTGCACAGGCACCTCTTCTAAGGTACTTAATTCTTATCCTTTTGTCTATATGCCATATTAGTCCATTCTTGCAATGCTATAAAGAAATACCTGTGCCTGGGTAATTTATATTTTTAAAAAGAGATTAATTGGCTCACTGTTCTGCAGGGTATACAGAAAGCATGAGGTTTCCCATCTATTTGGCTTCTGGGAAGACCCCGAGAAACTTACAATCATGGCAGAAGGCAACGTGGGAGCAGGTGTCTCACATGGAAGGAGCAGTAGAAGAGAGGGAGCAGGGAGGTGCGACACATTTTTCAACAACGTAGCAATGACAGCTCCAAAGGGGGTGGTGTTAAACCATGAGAAACTGCCCCCAGGATCCAATTACCTCCCACTAGGCCCCACCTCCAACATTGGGAATTGCAGTTGAACATGAGATTTCGGTAGGGACACAGATCCAAACCATATCATATGTTTTTTTTTGTTTGTTTTTTGTTTTTTGTTTTTTGTTTTTTTTTTTGAGATGGAGTCTCACCCAGTCGCCCAGGCTGGAGCGCGATGGTGTGATCTCAGCTCACTGCAACCTCCATCTCCCCAGTTCAAGTGATTATCCTGCCTCAGACTCCTCAGACTCCCAAGTAGCTGGAGCTATAGGCGCACGCCACCACACTCAGCTAATTTTTGTATTGTTAGTAGAGACGGGGTTTCACCATGTTGGCCAGGCTGGTCTTCAATTCCTGACCTCAGGTGATCCACCAGCCTCAGCCTCCCAAAGTGCTGAGATTACAGGCATGAGCCACTGTGTCCGGCCAGCACTTTGAATTATTGTTGTGAGTGGTTGCTTTTTTAAAGAATGCAAAAATGAAACCACTGTATGAACACTAGAAAATAAGTAAATGATATATATTTGGTGCTAATATGTTAATTTCCCAAGAACAATCCAAGAGACTCTAAAGACAAAACTAAGAGAACTAATAAGAATTAAAAAGAGAATTTTGTAATGCAGATGGTGTATCTATTAACGTTCAATTAGCAGAAAATAGAATCCACTCTAGCAAAAAAATGATTTAAAACAGTAAATGTTGTATTAAATAATAATTGTGAGAAGGGTTAAAAGAAGAGGCTCTATTCTCAGATTCTCTAATGAATATCCTTGCACTGAAAATAGCTTTGCTTCTGTTGAAAAAAAAAATACTGATAACAGCATTGCAGGAAGTTGATGAATCAGGGAGCTGCTATTGCTACTGCTGACTGCAGGACTTCTAGACATCTGTCTCCATTGTAACAACACCTGCTGGATGGAGAAACCAAAAGCTGAATTAGGATATAGTTGCTACAGTTTCTGCTTAAGAATCATTTCTTTCCATCAGGATTTATATGAGCAAAATGCATCTGACTAATTGGAAGTGAATTATGTCAGGAGGCCATGCTTTCTAGATTTCTACACTTTGAACTCTAGAAGGGTTTTGGAATAAACTGGAATGACTCAATCTAATATCTTCTATACTGAGTACAAGATGAGTATACAAAACTTGACAGATTTTTCTGTACTAGAAATTGTCATATCATGGAAACAGGAAAACATACTTATTCAGAATGGCAAAAAAAAACTCTGAAGTTCTTAGAGGCAACTTTTATAAGAAAAATTAATATTTCTTTGAATGACATAAAACAATATATGAAGAGATTGAGAAACAATGTTTATGGTTGGAAAGACAGTGAAAATATCAATTTTCTTCAAATAAGTATGTGCAGCTGATGAGAATTTAATTAGAATCCTATTTTTTCATGATTTGATAAGATTTTGATACCCACATGGAAGAATAAATTCTTGGGAATAGACAAGAAAGGGATGAAAAGGATCACTAGTTAAAGCATTTTGAGAAGACTTCTTTTACCGGATATTAGAACAACTAATACATTTGTTAAAGAAAAGCATGAATTAATGTAAAATAGTAAACCCAGACAGAGTTGCCAAACTATGTCACAAAGATTTTGTTTTTCTTCTGTGAAGAAGGAACAACTTTCATTTCAAATGCATCTGTCAGAGATGGCTATATATTCATAACATAAAACAGTTTATATCCATCTTATACAGTTTACAATAATTTCTGAGTTGTTTTAGTTTTATATGAGAAGATACTAGAAGAGAACATGTAGACAACATACACTTGTGGGGTGAGGAAGAACTTCTCAGCCAAGATAAGAAATTTACACAGGAAATGCTATAATAAAAAGTGTATTTGACTATATAAAATTAAAATTTTGAAAGACAGAAATTCCACAAGCAAAGTCGATAGAGAAATATTAGAGTTGGAAAAATATTTTCAACAAATACTACAGGAAAGAGATACGATTATTTGACATTCGAAGAATACTTACATGTAGATAAGCAAAATACAAAAATGCTCCAAAGAAGATAAGTACAGGCATACCACAGGAGTGTAACATCAAATGGTTCACAAAAAAATGAAAATATGCAAAAATTCAGTAGCGGTCATAGAAATAAAATTATCATAAAATCAAGCATTTGATTTGTACCCATCTGAATGCCCCCAAATTAAAGAAGAATAAAGTGATTCAGTCTAAGCTAAATAGCCCTCTAGCTTCCTCTATTAAAATTGAATGTATCAATGTACTGTGTTTTCTTGCTAGTATATAGAAATACAATTGATTTTTAATATCTTGTACTTTGTACCTTGTGACTGAGCTAAACTGACTAGTTCTACTAACATTTTGTAAATTTCTTAAATTTTCTCCATTAATCTATTAATAAAGAGAGTGTTACTGTTTTCATTTCATTTACTCTTTTCATTTCAATCTATCTTTTTTTCTCTTGTCTTAGTATATTGGCCAGAACTACACTACAGTCTTGAATAGAAATGGTGAAAACAGGCATCCTTGCCTTGTTCTCCATCTAAGAGGGAAAGCATTCAGTGTTTTCTCCTTTAAATATAATGGTAGAGCTCAATTTTTAAAATATATATGTCCCTTTACAAGTTAAGGGTGTTCTCATCTATTCTCAGTTTGATGAGTTGTTTTCTTTTTAATTATAAGCAGAAGATAAACATTATCAAAGACTTTTTCTGCATCTGTTTAGATGATCATATGCTTTTCTTTTGTGGTCTAATAATATGGTGAATTACATTGTGTGGTTTTAGAATGCTAAGAGCAACCTTGCATTCTTGGAGTAAATCCCATCTTGTCGTGAAATGTTACTGATTTAAATATTGCTGGATTTCACTTGATGATGTTGAAATAATAAGTTTTGCATGTATATTCATGAGGATATTTGTTCAGAGTTTTCTATTCTTGTATGTTTTTGTCTGGTTTGGGTATCAGAGTCTCAAGAAGTGAATTAGGAAATATTTACCGCTTCTATGTTTTGGAAAATTTGGTTTATAATTAGTATTATTTCTTTCTATAAATGTTTGTTAAAATTCACCACAAGGCCATCCGGACCTGGAGTTTTCTTCATGAGAAATTTTTAAGTAAAAATTCAATTTTTTGATGCTCACTAGAATGGTTTAAATGAAAAATATCTTCAATGCCAAATATTAGCAAGGATTTGGAGAGCAGTTGAAATCCTCATATGTTGCCAATGGGAATATAGAATAGTCCAGACACTTTGGAAAGTACTTAGGCAGTTTCTTATAGAGTTAAACACATACTTACCATGTGGCCCAGCAATTTCACTCATAGGTATTTACCAAGATAGATGATCACATATGTCTTCACAAAGACTTCTATTCACATACGTGTATGGTGGAATTGATAAATATATCAACATCACCATGCTAAGGGAAAGAACCCAGACACAAATGACGACCTTATTTTGATTCTATTTATGTGAAA